TAACTCTTTGGCTCTTGTTGGACGAACTTGTAAAATATTTACTCCGAGCCTTTGCGGTTTAATATTCTGAACTAATTGCGTCTTAATACTGTTTGGCGATCTACTTGTATCTTTAGCCTTGATAATCAAAACGTGATCCTGTTGAGCTGGAATCTTCCTTACCTGTGAAGGCTTCGAAGTGAGCCTAACAATTTCTGCAGAAGATAACTCCGAATTCACTTTATCAAATCAAATTTACCGTCTAAACTATGTGAATGACAAGCCTGTAAATCGGACGCTATTTCCGAATGTGGTAAGACAGTGGCTTGGTCAAGCTGTGTGTTAACTGATTAAATTTTAACTCAAGTTCCAAAAGTCTTTTTTCCAACAAAGAATTCTTTTCCTCCAATGAAGAGACTCTTTCCTTCAAGCAGGCGTTAAAACCTTCCAGGTGAGCTATGTATAATTCACGTTTGTTTGAATGTGATCTGATATTGCTTACAAACTTTTTAAGTTTCGCTGCATCTTTATTATTTAATTTATGTTTTGCATTGGCATCAACTAAAAATGCTAAGATACCGTCATAGGATTCATTAATAAATGATAGATGGTTCCCAGTTACCTTTTCTGGAGCCAAATCTTGTACAGAGCCAGGAGAAGATTCAAAGACTGAAGAAACTGAATGTGCCGGAGAAAGCGTAACATTAGAATGAGACATTTTATTATAATTCTATAAAATGGGCTTTTCTGCAGAGGGAGTTACTATATAATCATAAAACCCTTAAACATATGACTTAAAAGTGAAACAGAAATAAAAACACTATGAAAAACAAATCGGTAAGCAGAAAAGAACCAATTAAACAAAAATCATTAATTAACAAAAGACTAATTAAAATTAAGTACGATTTGAATTATTAAATTAACAAAAAGGACCCCAAGGAACATTATAGCACAGAAATTAAAACAATTATCACTTGACTTCAAGTAGTAATATAAGCATGAATTTAACATATAGTCTATGGAGTTTTCCAGGAAAGAACCACAGTCTCAGAACGTAAGTTTGACAAGTTCAAAAACATTACTTCTCTAGAGATTATAATCAGTAACAACATATAAATTTAGAACATATTTTCTATGCGTATGGCAACTTCCGGTTACAGACTCTTAAGAATTTCGAAGAACAGTGGTGTAAGATAGCGTCCTTTTTGTACCATAGTATAAAAATCTTAATTAATTATCCTAATTGTGATAAAACTGTCCAAAAATTTTTTGTAAGTCATAAAATCATAAAAAACATTAATATTTAAAAGAAAATTGCAATTAATTTCACCAAAAGGACCATTAATTAATTCGAAAACAGTCTCTAGCTAATAATGATGCGTAAATCATTTTTAAGATAATGTATTTTGTGAATTTTATGCTTATTGAAAAAATTTTCTTTTTTTAAACCTGTTAGTACGGTCCAAAAGTGATGGTGCCTTCCTAATAAAATAAATTTAAAAAACATGTAAAATTTTTTGTGGGTGTGTTTTCATACTTAAATTTAGTAACAATTATTACATAACATACATTTTCTCAAAATATTAAAATATTAATTTAATAAAAATACAATTGTTTAGAACGGAGCAGAAAATGGCTCACTTAAGTGATGGGACACTACGTACTATGCAACAAAAATCGTCTGAAGTAAGCAATAAAAATATCTTTTGGGGTATTTATTTTTACTCAAAAGCAATTGCCAATAATTTATAAAATCGTCTGCAGTATTTCTCTCCAGATTGTTTTGGAATTTTTGTGCTTTTTAGCTCTGTGCAGCCATGAATGCTAAACGAAAAGAAACTTTGCCTGGAATTCGAAAATTAGTTATTAATTTGCATATTGAACGTGGAAAATCTATTAGAGAAACTGCTGAAACAGTTAACTTCAGTCATTCAAACAGTTTTCAATATCATTAAACGATATAAAAAGAATCATATGATTCAGGATAAAAGAAGACCTGGCCGACCATCAAAGCTATCCAATGGAATAAAGCGAATTAGCGTTCGGAAATATTTAAAAAAAAACTCCAAGAATGAATGCTCCTAAAGTTGCTGTCTGATTTACAAGCATTATATGGAGTAATTGTTAATTCCTGAGACTATTAGAAGAGTAATTCGATCTGCTGGATATCACGGTAGAGCAGCCAGGAAAAAATTCTTCGTAAGTGAAAAGAATAGAAAACTCAGACTGGCTTTCGCAAATTCCAACATAAATAAGAATTCTGATTACTGGAATGAAGTTATATTTGCTGATGAGAGTAAATTTAATATATTTGGTTCTGACGGTAGAATCTTGGTGTGGAGAAAACCCAGGGAAGAATTTCGCAAACAGAACTTGGTGCCAACAGTACAACATGGTGGAGGAGGAGTTATGGTATGGGGGTGTATGTCGTCCGCTGGAGTTGGTAATCTTGTTTTTATTGACAGTATAATGGATCAGGCACAAGTATATTGAACATTTTAAATCAAAATTTGAAATCTTCAGGCACGAAAATTGAACCTTCATAACGATTTTAAATTCTACCAAGGGCAATGACCCCAAGCACACTGCTTTGAACGTTAGACTCTGGCTGCTGTATAACTGTCCCGAATAATAAAAACACCACCACAATCTCCAGACTTAAATCCCATAGAGAATATTTGGCAAGAAATTGGAATCAAGAATTCGCAAACACACCATTTCTTCAAAACAACAATTAAAATCGGTGCTTCAAGAAGAATGGGGTAAAATCACTCCAGAAATCACAAAAAAAAAAAAAAAAAAAAAAAAAAAAAAAAAAAAAAAAAAAAATAGTCGAATCCATCCCAAGAAGATTAAATCATGTTTTAAAAGTAAAAGGAAATCCAACAAAATATTAAAACCTTTTAAAATGTAAAATTTTTGGATAAATATTTGATGGAAAAGTAAGTGTCCCATCACTTAAGTGAGCCATTTTCTGCTCCGTTCTAAACAATTGTATTTTTGTTAAATTAATATTTTAATATTTTGAGAAAATGTATGTTATGTAATAATTGTTACTAAATTTAAGTATGAAACACACCCACAAAAAATTTTACATGTTTTTTAAATTTATTTTATTGCAGTTTCCTTTTGTAAAGCACAAGTGTCCCATCACTTTTTTGAGACACTGTACTTCATCGACGTAAATTAACACCATTTACATTATGTATTTATTTAGCAAAGATTAAATTTAATTACTGACGAAGTAGTTGTGCGCTTGTTTCATTGGGTCATTTACAATGAACACCGATCCTTTCGATTTTGTCAGGGCACGAAGTCCGCCACTTAAAAGTATTGAACACTTCGAAGAGGTTTCCTTAAAGTGCTTAACGAATTACCTGGTTATGAAAAATAATGTCAGTTAAATTTTATTTTTCTTTTTTACTTCCTTGTACGAAGTAAAAAGGAAGTATTGCAATCGTGAAAAGTTTCAAGCAGCATATTTCAACGAAAATATCCATTTTGACCGCTATCGAATGCAATTTAACGATATCTTTGCGTGATATCTGTACGTAAGGACAGAATAAAATACTCTCTTTTCCTTCAAAAAAAATTATAAAAAAACTGCTTTAAAAAAAATTAATTCTGAAGAGAATTTTTTCATGGCGTCTGTACGAACGTATGTACGTACGTATCTCGCATAACTCAAAAACGAGTAGCCTCAGAACGTTGAAATTTTGTATATAGGACTGCTATAATATGTAGATGTGCACCTCGTATTTTGGTTGCAATCGGCCGCACCAAACGTATATAAATATAGTATTTATAAATATATCCACTCTGTTACCCGGCTCAGTGATCTCAGTTTCTTTACTCTTATATGTTTGTAAATTTTACACTTTTTGCTTTAAAAATGATTGAATTATGTTGTTTTTATCTTCCGGTTAAGGATTTTATGCCTTTAGTAAAGCTGTGTGCAATATTTTTAGAATTATCAGCAATTTTAAAGTTGTTTAATTGCCGCTAAGCCTTTTTTAATGGCGGCCATTGATGTTTACATTTGAAACAGGAGACTAGTGGATTTGTTGCCAATCTAGAGAAACTTCGTTTCGCAACAACAAAGATAACGCCTTAATTTATTATTTAAATCATGCTTAATCCGTTCTGGAATTTTTTCGAGGAAATAAGCGTTTAAAATTTACTTCGTAATTTTTAATATAGATATTTTGAGTTCTTATATATTTTTGCCTTCTCGCGAAGTGAGAACTGAATTAATTAAATGAGAAATACTCAATCGTCTGTGAAAAACTGTTTCTTTTTTGTTTTGTTTTCTTAATTTCTTTTATACATCATTCTAGCTTTATTATAGTATTTGAATAGAACATGTGGCAACGATTATATAATTCTATTCTTTAAATGATATAAATTTTGTGCATTATGAGTTATAATATGAACGAAATATATAAGTTAACTGTTATATAGTTATTGGATTATATAACAGTTAACTTAGTTTCCGTTCTAAAATTATTATACAAGTTAACTGTTATATAATTATTGATACTGTTAAGTGAATCTAGCGCCAGAGTGTCGCTATCGTAAACAAGTACTAGAGTGAATTTTAATGAATGCATTTATTCTATTGGGTGGTTTATGCGCTGTCGGCGAAGTAGATTTAATTCAATCCAATAAGTTTAAATGAAATGCAAGAAAAAATGCGTATAATTTAATATTCCAATACAAGGAAGTCATGTGGTGTACACATCAGATTTTTTCTGCAAGCATTTAAAAGCCTTTTTTTAATTCCCTTTTTAACTTTCGACAACAGATATATCTCATTAGTTCAAAAACATTGTTAGAAATATATCATTTATAATTGCTCGATTTTTTCCGCTTATTTTTCCCTTCTATTTTGTTTTTGCTTTACTTAAAAATTGAACGATGAACCATATGGCAGTAGAATAATCAGCAAAACTTATATAAGTAGAATAATCGAACACCTGTATCAATACGTGAAGTCATCTGTTACTGAAAGGAGGGGAAAAGAATAATTACGGCAATAGCAGTTAAGTTTTATATTTGCATTTTCGAAAAACAGTCTGATGCAAAACAGCAAGCATTCAAGTTAAAGCGGTTGATACAATGAAGTTCGTCCTATTCTTAGTATTTTTGGTTTCGGTATGGGGATGTAAGTTTAATTTATCGTTTTTTTCACTTTTTATAGCTTCAAATAAATTGGGTACTCTTCTGTCATCGGGCGGATTAAAAAATTCATGTGAAGTATGTGTTCATGTATGGGTGTATATGTGTATGTACATGTGTAAGTGTTAATGTATGCGTGTATATATGTATGTACGTATGCACGTACTCATATATGCCCATACACACGTGCGTATATACGTACATTCCTGAATCCGGTCTCGATAACAGAAGAGTACCAAAATTTATATTTAAGCTAGTTCAATTTATTTTGAAAGCAATGCTTCTCTGATTCTAATTTTTGTATGATGTGCACTTAGTATTTTTATAAAGCTTTAATGTGTAATTAATATTATTAAAGAAACGGTGTGTTGAAGAAAAGTGAAATTGTGTATTTACTTTAAGGAAAAAAAAAAAAAAAAAAAAGAAAGGGTCTGGTTGCCTTTAGGACATGGTTAATAAATTTTTAATATAATGCAAAAGGCTATGCGGAGAATGATGACTTGATTTTTACCTAGTATACCGTTAGAATACATTTCATGTGTTAGTAAGCAATATGTCACCCTAAGATATGTAATATATGTATACAGTCAGTGTCAAGAGTATTCCTACAGAAATAAAATTTAAGATAATCATTTCTATTTTTGAAGAAGTACGTTTAAAATGCATTTAATAGTTACTTTTATTTATTACGGATATATTTTGATTTAAAAAACCGAAATGAAAATCTTCACTTTTTATTGTTTGCATAAAATATGCAAGCTTATGTTAATTTGTACTACATTCGAGTTCCAAATGTATTCATCCGCCCTCTGTTATGACCTGAAAACAGTTTAAAATGACATGCACTTTACTTTTGCAATTAACAATTTTCAAAACGTTTGTATGTGATTTTCCTTACATAGGAAATTAGCTATTAATCTGGGGGAAAAACTGTAAATCTGCAATAAAACACTAAAAATTTCGGCAAAGGCTTTGTTATCAATTAAATTAAAACAGAAAAAGTATAGAGCATGCAGAAGCCATGCAAATAAACCTCGCAAGGGCCAACACCAAAAACTAACGCCCAGATGTAAAAGACTTATTTTGAAAAACGTAAAGCGAAATCCTCATATTTTAGAACAAAACTGAGAAATGAGTTAGAGCAAGAGTCGGGTGTAGTAGTTTCAAGCTCAACAATCAGAAGGACATTAAATTAACAAGAATTTCAAGGAAAGTTCTGAATTTTCAGATAGCAGATTCAGCAGATATGCAGAAATGATCGGAAAAGTTCTGCATATCTGCTGTTAAAGCAGTTAATGTGGTCGTAAGGACTGAGCAAGCGAATATTAAGGCTCACCAATGGCCGAGTTGTAAAGTAGCTGAACATTGGTAGTTCCAAACTGTGTTCGATTCCAGGCGAATGAGATGGCTGCATGGACATTTTCGTAGTTTTAAATATGTGTAACGAGTATACCAGCCAGTTTCCTCTAGAAAGTCCTCTACGAAAGCCTCCCCTTTCTGCCTAACGGATAGAATTTATTTATTTAAATTTAAAATTTAAAAAATATTAAATTTAGATTTGCCACTGACTATAACCTTATTCCAAAATTCTAGAGGTAAATTTTGATATTTGTTTGATTTGGTTTATTGAGATTAAGTGCTTTGCCATAATCTTAATAAACCAAATCAAACAAATATCAAAATTTACCTCTAGAATTTTGGAATAAGGTTTATGGTCAGTGGCAAATCTAAATTTAATATTTTTGGACCTGATGGAAATTTTAAAAAATCCTATAAGCTAGGAACAACACTTAAAAGAGAAAACTTACGAGCTAAATATGGTGGTGGCAGTATACTTGTTTGGAGGTGTATTATTTGCTGCTAATTAACTTTAGAAAGATTTACTACCCAGTTTCCTTTAGAAAGACATTCTTTCCTTTAGGCAAGTATCTTTGTGCACGTTCGCATATTCAAGAAACCTAGCCTAAACTCTCCAAACTTCGGTTAATTGCAAATATTTATAGAGTCCTTTATGTGGTCGTAAAGAATTAAAGGGCATTCCTCTCATGTGCTCTCGTAGGATAACGAATAATGTATCCTATTCGTATTCGTAGAATCCGTGTTGTTACTTACGTACTATAGCGACCTAGGCGAGGGGAAAATCACGTGTTTCAATCTTGGCGAGAAACAGATGCTTATCGATATAAATAAGTTCAGTGTCTACGATGTAGCAGTATGGTTTGTTTACTATAAACTTACAGAAGCAACTTAATATAATATATAAATTCGTATTTATTATTTTTAATGCAATTTTGTAAGCAATTTATTTAGATAAACAATATGCCGAAAAATATCCGAAATGCGTTAAACAGATACTTACCGGTGGGCATAGTTCAACAATTGTGTCAATCGTATTATCGCAGTCGGTATGATGCTTGAACATAAACTCTCCGTTCTTCTGTGCTTTTTGTTGCACTATTTCATTGATATTCCGTAAAATAGAACATTTAAAATAGTAAGCATATTACATACATAATTTTCATAAGTTGAAGAAACAAATTACGCGAGCGTATGCAGATCGGTAAAGAGTAGGCATCGAGTGAATTGCTTATGTGTATAGGTAACAGTTTCTTTCTTTACAAGTCTGCAATGCGTCAATACCCATTTCTCGCCAAAACATAGAAGCGTTTTGCTTCAAGCGAATGCACAGCTCATTTTTCCTATTACAGTCTTCTAATCCCGATTAAATGATATGCTGGACGTAATGATTGCTTTTGACGATCCGGGGGAAAATGTATAACCCCAATGAAAAATTCATTTGATAAGGAAGACAAATTTTATAAATGTTAAAAATTGATTTCCCAACCTTAAAGTCTCAGTTTTCTCAGCAAAAGTATATATATATGAACCTCCTCATCTAGGCATATATATTATTAAAAATTAGCTGCTAATATTCTATAGATAATCCAAAAAATTATTAAGTATGGTATTTTGGGTCGCGAATGGCAAATTTACTGAGATAATTCTGCATAATTTTAAATTTTTGTAAATTTTCTAAAACAGATCTACATTGTAAATTATAAATTAATTACATGTTCATTTTCCTATTTGCATCGGCCTGCCAATGGCCGAACATTTGCGAACAGTCTAACTGGTAGTTTGACCTAGACTCGGGTCCTGGCGAATAAGCTGCTTTACATGGCAGTTTCACAGTTTTCCCACGTGTAACTCGAATATGAGAAAATTCCTATTAAAAAGAACTTCACGATAGCCTTAATGTGTTTTTGCTAAAATGTTATAAATACAGGCCAATCCAATCCTATATTTTCCTCAGAAAGTCCTTCACGAAGGCAAGCCCTCGTATGCTTTGCCATACTCAAATAACCTAACCTAATCTAGCCATAACCAATTCTATTTACATTGATTTAGCAGTTAATATTTTGGCATTATTAGAAAAGGTAAGGAGGCAAAAACAGATGCGTGTGGCGTGGACGCATTCAGTTGATCAAGTGTAACCTTCCCCTTTCTTCATTCCGTAATGTTACAGCAGGGACGCATTTTTTTTTTCTTTTGCTCATCAGCCTTCCCTCTTTCTGGTCCACCAGCGGCTGAGCGGTAAAGCCACTGAAGATTGGTAGTTCTGTTCGGGGCTCGAATTCAGGCGAACAGACTGGCTGGATGGAAATTTTCATGGTTTCCCCATGTGTAACGTGCATACGAGCCAGTTCCTTTTACAAAGTTCTCTAAGAAGGCATCCTTCTCTTAGGAAGATAGCCATTGAGTGCTTTTGCCACAAGCCAATGCACCAAATACCAAACCTTTCATCTTTCTATCACATGCAGTGGGAAATGGTGAGTGTTCGTTGTTTAGCTATGCGTGTATCGCAATTTATTATTACGATTTAGTTAAAGCGAGAGCAAGTTTTCTGCTCTGAAGTTTGCATTTAGTTTAAAATAAGTCTGTACATGTGTATTTTATATACACTGCTCTTTAATATTTTTAGCCCTAACATTATGTATAGTGACGTTTTTGATTAATGTCATGAATAGATTTATTTTGTTCACTTTAGCGCTTATTACCGGACAGAGTTATTTTGCAAAATAAAACAATAAAATAATTTATCTATCTTTGTTTAATCTTTATTTAATAATATTTTTTATTTAATATCGTTTAATCTTATCCTCAAGTTTTAAAACTTATATACAATTGCAAAGCTGGATTTATTCCGTTGCTTTTAATGCTTCTACTCTCCTTCTTCTGCAATCCATATCTCATCGAGTTCCATAAATTAGCTTATTCGATTCGCTAGGGAATCGTGAAATTTTAATATTTTATCGGAAAGTGCTTCTTCAGATTTTCGACAAAATTGCAGTTTATACTTAGCTTTACACTGATTTGGGAGAGAAAAGAAACACATTAATTTCAATAGATTTCAAATATATTTCAATAGATGAAAACAGGATCATGCAATTTTTACCTATATGCATATAATATGTATGTTATTCTAAAACAGTATTTTTCAGATGAGAAGCAGATATCTCCGTGCCAATGTGACAAAAGATATTTCAAGCATTATGAAGTAAAGGGTTGTTCACCAGTCTATGAAAAAGATTGCTGCCCAGTTAGATTTAAATGTCCACAACCTGAACAAATTCCATCAAATGGTTAGTATATAACACAGGTTTTACACTATTTTTTCCTCTCAGCACAAAACTTAGAAAAAAAAATCAAATTACACGCAGGTCGAATGCTTGAGAATAAACAATGAAGCATTGTCTTTCTCTTATTTATTAAATTTTTCTTCAACATAGAAATAGAATTACATATGTCTGTACATAAATAATTTTAAATTTCTTTACTTCTTTCCATAGCTTGAAGGTCCACCAGCGCCCGAGCGGTAAAGTCGCTGAACATTGGTAGTTGGTGCGAGGTTCGAATCTCGCGAACGGGCTGGCTGCATGGGCGTTTTCGTGCTTTTCCATACGTGTAACGTGTATACGAGTCAGTTTGTTTTAGAAAGTCCTATACGAAGGCATCCCTTCCTCAGGCAAGTAGCCTTTCAGGCCTTGCCTTAATTACATAACCCAAAACAATCTACAGCTTGAAGCTTGAGAGTGTTTTCATTTCGACAGAGTTTATAACTGAGGAGAAAAATTACTAAAAACTATTCTAACGGACTGTAGATCAATCGGGGTCTTTATTAATTTTTAACTATGAGGAAAAACTGTTCGCGTGTAAATAAATGTATTCCCGAACAACGTGATTATTTTTAGTACAAAAGTTCGTAATTGAGCGCAGTTTGTTTTGACAAGTACGAAAAAAAATTAATCAAATTTGTATCTGTAAATCTTTGAATAAGATTTACATTATATTGTAAATTAATTAGCTTCATTTATAGATTTTTCTGGTGCTTTAATCACGTTCGTTTTTAATGAAATTTTGCAATACTCTGTTTGCATTAAATACATAATTGAAATGTATTCGCGGGCTGAATAAATTTGCTTCGGGGGCCACATGCGGCTTTCAGGCCGTCAGTTTTAGATCACTGATGTACTTCATTATCATAACTTTTATGTTTGCCAATATTTTACGTGATACGTGGGGGTCTGACACCTCAAAAGAGATGTATTATTAGCCCAAAGGGCGTTAGCACAGAAGGGTTATCCGCAGCGTACATGGGCGCCTCGAAACCCGAAATCTGAATTTGTTTTTGATTTATTTCATATTTTGTATAAATTTAACGAATTTTAGTTTAAAAAACTCAGCGATTTGAAAGCGAAAAGTGGCAACGTTGTTCGAAATAAAACACTTTTTTTCTCTGGCGTGCCAAACTGTTGCCATTCGGCAAAATGTAAGCCATTTATCTTTCAATTTTAATCAACAAATTCAGCTATTTGAAAACAATGTGTTGCCATTGCCTCAACTAGAATACTTATTATCTCCATGCTCTAGCCTACTAGCCCACCAGCGGCCGAGCGGTAAAGTCGCTGAACACTGGTAGTTCGGTCTGAGGTTCGAATCACGCGAACGGGCTGACTGCATGGGCGTTTTCGTGGTTTTCCCCATGTGTAACGTGTATACGAGCCAGTTTCCCTTAGAAATTCCTCCACGAAGGCACCCCTCCCCTTAGGCAGATAGCTCTCGAGGCTTTGCCATAATCACACACACACACGCTCTAGCCTACTAGCCTGTTGCCATTCGATAACAATCAAATTTAACCTTTCTTTTACTGAATAATAAACCAAGTGATTGTAAAGCAATAAACGCACTTCTTAAGAATATTTTCTAAATTTAATGCGATTGCTTTAAATAAAAATGCATTTAAATCACGAGGTATCTAATTATAAATATTAAATGACACTAACTGTATTCATTCAAATATACGTATCTTTTTAACTAAAAAGCTGGTCGTTCCAATGGTTAGTTTTCAAAGAAGTAATATAGCGAATATATTAAAAAAATATGGCTATACCGGGAATTCTAAAGTTATGCTGTTTTTAGATGATTTTGATTTTGCGCTTGAATTTTATTGGCATACGTGCGAAGAAAACGGTGCTTAATAAAAAATAATAATAAATAAAATGTAATATAATAAAGCTGCTTAATAATAAACAGAAGACAACAAAAACTGTGTCAGCAGGAATGATTCCAAAAGCAGACTGGTAACCTGCTCAGCGAGAGCATAAAAAACTTCTGGCGCATGCTAATCTTAATCATAAAATCTGAATACATTCAGAATTTTTTCTTTCTTTTTAATTCGTATTTCATTTGAAAACAATAGCATCTAATTCATGTTTTATTTTTAAAGAAAATAGGTAAAAATTTAATTTGAAAATTATGAGGTATTTTTGCCTCCTTTCCGCATGCCTTCGTGGTGTAATATAATAGCACTCTTGGCGTGCTTTCGAGAAGTTCAAGTTAAAGTCCCGGTGATTACGCATTTTGGCAATTGGGTGCCCTCATACCCAGTCCTCCTTTACGAGCGAGTATATACGTTATTTTTTCCTTTTTCATGTCTTCGTGGTGTAACGGTAGCACACTCGGCCCGTTTTCGAGTCCTGGCACGGGCATTGCACATTTTATTATCTCCTGCTTTTTTTTAAAAAAAAAAAAAAAAAAAAAAAAAAAACAATGACTGCAAGATAATTCTATATTTTTCATTTCCAGTTTGTAAGTACAACGGCCATTTCTATGATATTGGTACGAGAATTTTGACTTCAAACCCTTGCGAAATTTGCGATTGTGAACAAAATTCTGAGAATAAAAGAGCTGCTATAAATTGCATTCCTGTTGAATGCCCTACAACCTTTGGAAAACCACTGAATCATAACTGCTACGAAGTATACGAAAAAGATAAATGTTGCTCCACTAGTACAATATGCGGTAAGTAAAGTCTTCCATTTTATACATCAATATGATTAAGCTAGGTTACATTATAAATTTTAGTTTCACCTACAACTTTAAATGAAATAGTTTATCATAAGAAACAAAATGGGAATGACTTAAATCATTCTTCTTATGACTAGTACAAGACTAAATTTTAGAGGGCGGGAGAAGAAATTGGGACTGTCAAAGAAATTTGCAGTTGCTTAGGTCGTTTTCATATTCAAAAAAAGGTACATGACATTTCTTAAAAATATATTAAAGAGATATTTTCTTATATATATATAAAGTTGGTTACAAAATATTTATAGATGACTCTTGGTGTAACTAAATCATTAAATAAAAACCACAATAATAATTTGATAATCGTAATAATTTTAATAACCTTTATTTCTCTAGTCCAAAATAATATTAAAAACTGTCACAGTTTATCTCAAATATGATTTTGTTTAATTTTTATTAAACTGCAATAAAATGTCTCACTTGAATTAATATTATGGGCCGTAGCACAGCCATTTCAATAATTTTCGGTCAAATATGGTACTACCAGAGAGTATGTTATATCAAGAAAGTCACACTTCAGGCTATTGGAATATGTACTAGCGTTACCTACGGGTATCATATTGTATTAAGACCTCATGAGATGTTAGAATAATGTGCAGTTTTTTAATAAAGGATGTGAATTCCTTATAAATTAGCTGATTAATTTGTGCAGTTGCACAAAATGCTTTAGTCATGCTTCCAAAGAATGTTATTATTAATCTTTATTGTTATAAATGTTCAGATATTTGGAAGAAAATTAAAAATGCCTTCATGAAAAAATTAGGAACTACTTCATCTCAAGATTAAGATTTTGAAAATTATGAGACATTGACAGAAAAACCTTTGCAAATATACTTATTTGTGGATAAAGCTGAAAGTTAATGATTATAATGTATTTTTTAAAATAAATTTTAAAATTTTCGTAGCTAATCTGGCATTTCTTCCGGTTGTTCACCTCAAGCAAGTGCCTCTCTCTTGTTCCGGCTGTGATCCTAATAATACAATAATACAGCGAGAACCTGTGGATCATCATCTGTTCTAGTTTCAGTCAGTAGCACAGATTGTGATCCACAGGTCACTGCTAATGTAATTAGAATGAAGCCACTACAGCGTAAATGGCCATTTAATATTCATAAAAACTACAATACAGTATCAGTATGATGATAATGAATCAGAAAACTGTAAGTTATTTATAACCAAATAAATCATATTAAGTTTCCAAGACACTGATTTCTTAAGATTGTCAAAACTTCAAGTGTTTTCAAGTGAAAAGGCTTTGTAAGAGGGAAACGATTAAAATTTTTTAGTTTTGTATTAATATTAATTTAAAGGAAATTTTATATTGTTTTTTACATCAGTATTTAAATGCTGAATTTTATTTTATTATATGCTAATAGTTATCCTAATTTACAGCAACAGATGAAGCTATGAATCGAACTGGTAATGTGTTTTCATTTTTATAATTATTTTAATTGGTGAGTTCACGAATCTCAACAGTAATACTACTAAAAGAAATGTTATGCATGTTCTACTTCGGAAATTGTAACAATATATGCCAGGTTGTTATGATCGATGGGCAGCCAAAACGAGATATCCAACAGTTGAAGATGGCTCTGCAAATGGTTTCCGTTTTCATATCCGGAATGGGAATGGCTTCAGGCCATCTGGAGAATCTATCTATTAGAGTCAAAAGGTACACGTTGCCTTCTGATGGAGGTAACGGTCCGACGATATCCATATGGATTTCTGAAAAACGTGCATCAGGAAGAGAGAATGTGCCCAGTGGTGCTTTAGTATGCCTAGTAATTTTCGATTTTTGGCAAGATTCACAGGATTTCACCCAATTTTTGATATGACGTTTCATATCGGGCCATACATAACGAGAACAAATAAGCTTCGTAGTAGCTGCAATTCCTGGATGTGACAGATTATGCAGATGATTAAAGATGAGTCTGCGAAAGGAATTCGGAACAAATGGACGAGGAATGTCTGTTGATATGTCACAAAGAATATTACCATCAGAATATTGGCACGGTTTAAATTCCAGTTTCAAAGATGATGTGTTGTTTTTGAGAAGGTCTTGTACCTCCGGATCATGCCGTTGAGCTTCCGAAAATTTTTTAAAATCCAAAAATGGAGATTTTGTTATGGAATCAATTTCGATTCTTGAAAGAGCGTCAGCAACGACGTTTTTTGAACCTTGCACATGCCTAATATCAGTAGAGTACTGAGAAATAAAATCTAAATGGCGCAATTGTCGAGGTGAACATTTATGAGGGTTCTGTTTAAAAGCGTATATTAACGGTTTTTGATCCGTATAAATTATAAAATTTCTGCCCTCTAACATGTGTCGGAATTTCTTAATTGCAGAATAAATAGAAAATAATTCCCTATCGTACGCGGACCATTTCTGTTGACTTTTACTTGAGTTTCATAGAGAAAAATGCTATAGGTTCCCATGTTTGTTGAGACAACTGCATAAGTGTGCCGCCGATTGCGACGTCTGAGGCATCTACCCAGATGCTTAGCTGGGCTCCGGGAATAGGGTGTCTCAAAAGGGTAGCCTGAGCAATGGCATTTTTGGCAGCAATAAAGGCTTGTTCAGCATTCTCGTTCCAATTTAATTGTGGGGATGAATCCTGAACACGAGAACGAGATTTCTTTTTATTAATATAGCCTTCTAACAATTTTATTAAAGGAGAAAGAATATGTGCTGCTTTAGGTATGAAACATCTATAAAAGTTAAACATGCCTAAAAATCGGCGAAGCTGAGTGAGAGTGGTAGGTTGAGGAAAATCTAAAATACATTTGACTTTGTCAGGAAGAGGTTCAATTCCGTTTTCACTAAGGTGAAAACCTAAGAAATCAATAGATGTTTGACCAAAGGTGCATTTTGAAACATTTATGCAAAGTTCCTGAAGTTTTATGCAAAGTCCATATTCCTGAAGTTTGGAAAATAAAGCTTTCAAATGCCTGCAATGTTCCTCAGAATCTTTAGAGGCTATGAGCAAGTCATCGACAAAAGCGTAAACGCCTTCTAAATCCCGCGTGACTTCATCTATAAAACGTTGAAAAGTCGCAGATGCATTGCATAAGCCGAATTGCATACGGATACTTTCGAATAAACCGAATGGTGTGCATATGGCGGTTTTGTGGATGTCGGCTGGGTTAATTGGTATTTGATGGTATGCCTTAATCAGGTCGACATGACTAAAAATTTTAGTACCGTGCAATGCAGCAGTAAAATCGGCTAAACATGGAATAGGGTATTTGTCTTTTATTGTTTGAGCGTTCAATGCTCGATAATCTCCTACAGGTCTCCATTCCAGACTTCCCTTTTTTGGAACCATGTGAAGTGGGGATGCATAATTGCTGCTCTCGAAGGTCTCAAATGCCCCAATTGCATCATAGTTTGAAATTCTTGTTTTGCTATTTTTAAGCGATCTGGAGCTAACCGACGAGGTTTTGCAACCACAGGTGGACCTTTAGTTATGATATAATGAACGGTGTTGTGTTTAACAGGTTGGTTAGGATCTGGTAATCTAGTAACTGAAGGAAATTCTTTTAAAATTTTGTGATATGGTGTATCACTAAATACAGTTTTTACTGAATAAATGCTTGCATTTTTCACGCAACCGACGGTTTTAAAATGCGTTTTTAAATCTTTGAGACATTTGTTTCTGAGATCAGGCACCAATTCAAAGAAATGGAGAAAATCTGCTCCAAGAATGGGTGTACTAACATTTGCTATAAGAAAAGTCCATGTAAACTGTCGTCTTAATTTGAAATCCAAAGAAAGTGTTTTTTGACCATAAACATGAATAGTAGAAGAATTAGCAGCGAAAAGTGTTTGTTGGGACGAATTCCGTTTTTGAGAATTATTTGCTGGAAGTAAGGACACGTCAGAGCCGGTATCGACCAAGAATGAAAGGTTTGTTCTACGGTCACGAACGAACAGGCGACGTGAAACTTGAGGCAAAGAATAAGTCGCCTCTATTCTTTGCTGGTTTCGTTTCCCTCCCTGCCATGAACAAGGTTTTGTACATTTGTCATCTCTCTACACTTTTTCCCAAAACGTCTATGATACCAGCAAACAGAATAATCTCTCCTTTTGGAATTGCTTCTTTCCTTATTGCGATCTCCGCGATTTGGCGAGCGACCACGAGAAAGAGAAAATGCGATCAATACGTTTGTTTAATTTTTCTATTTGTTTAAATAATTTATCCTCAAGAGACTGATCGACTGTGCGAGAAACGGCACAAGTCCCTGGGGTTGGATTTACTTCTAAAATTCTGTCGGCAATTTCTGCAGCTTTATCTACAGTTAAATTGGAAACCGCTGCCGCTGCCAAAATAGACTGAACAGTCGAAGGCAAACGTTGAAGGAATAATTCTAACATTAAGTTATCAGGAACATTTAAAGATTCTGCTCGACGTTTCATATTTCTAAGCAAATCGGAAGGTTTTCGAGAACCTAATTCTTCTCCAGATAATAATTGGCGAATTTCTTGCTGAGAAGATTCTCCTGAACGATTTATTAACTCAGTTTTGAGCTTTGCATATGGATCAATAGGGTCTGGTTTCATAAGTAAATCCCGTACTATTGATGCAATATCTGGAGGAAGATGAGAAACTACATAATTATATTTAGTAATGGATTCTGTGATAGGTTTGGGGGTGGCAAGAGCAAAAGTACTTTCACACATAATAAACCATAAAGATGGGTCTGATCGGTTATAAACCGGAATTTGGACGGCATGAACATCAGACATTGTGCAAGGTTTTTAAGCCAAAATAAAAGCAAAAATTTAACTAAAGAAAATGAAATTAAATGATAAGTAGAAAACAGAATTATAAAATGATCTATAATTACTACTCATCTGTGATCCGGAGGACGAAAACCGATGTAATCCATTACTTCTGGTTTGGAGATCTTGAGTGATGGCTTGTAGTCAAAACCGAAAGTGCTTGAGAACTGTTCATACGATTTAACACAGTCCGGGTTACCATTATGGTAATTTCCTGTTATGTTTTTACCACCAATCCTCGAATTCCATATCACAGATTATGTTCTTACTGCATTAATATAAATATTAACAAGACATAGTGCACAATAAAAATTAAGCTTTATTTAGGAACATCGCGCATACTCCCCGACAGCCTGCCTGTTTCGCTCTGCTCGCTACTCGTAAGAAACTTCTCCTCTAGGGTTGCCACACTTATCAGAGGGCGCAAGGCGCGCTCCTTATCGCCATCACCACAACTGCAACCAGATGTAAAAGTATTAATTAGAAAACAGATGAAAATTCGCAAAAAATGTTGCGTAAAATAATAAACGCAGTGTTTGGAATGTTTGATTTTTACCTCCTTTTGTTGATAATAAGGGAGAAGAACGGGAAAATTAGTTGCTGGCGAAATTGAGATTAACCTTTGACAAGTGTCCTTTGATTTGACTATAAGGAAATTCTAGTCGTTAATTTTCATTCATTTTTTAATTAAATTTTATTTTCTTTCCCCCTTTTGCTGAAAACCAAATGAAACAGTCTGAAATAAGAAAGGATGTTTTTTATTTTAGTTAAGGGAGAAAAAAATTATGACAAAAGCACCCTGAATCAAATCTAAATTAATATATGTAGGATTTTCAAAAGGTACTAGGATTCTTTTAGTATGGAACAGAAACATAAAAACTTTAGGAAATAGCCCTTGAACCTGAATACACCTGCCCTACTTATCTGTTGCGTTCCAGAAAATACGCCTTAAGCCCTTTTCTTTTGGTGTAATTTTCAAACTTTTCATTGTTCGCTTCAACATTTGATGCAAATCGGCATCCATGAGGGACATGCATTTCACGAAAGTCATAAAGAGTCAAGTCAGACTGCACCATCCATATTTTGAAAACTTTCTTGGTATGCAAACACGATGAGCAGGATCACTGAGCAGCGATTTTTTTATATCTTAACTGATTTCTTATAATGAATTAAGAAAATGAATGGAGAGCGAAGCACTAATGAGAAAGTTCCATTGCATAAGCAACTTCGTTATTGGTTGCTCGATGAATGTCGAAACGATTTTTTGATATGCACTAAAATTAAACTTCATAATCGATATCAAATACCTTTTGGAAAGTAGTACATTTTCTAGATACTTCCCACTATTGACACATTTCTTATTTTGTTTAAAAAGTCTTGCAGTTGGCAAAGTATCTCCCTCATTATTAATAATCTTAGTCTTAATAGTTTAATCACTGCTCTGGCGGATTTGTTCAAATTCAAATAAATTTTAAGTTTTTTAGTTTCCCTTTAAAATCCTTATTGGGCTGCAGAATCACGTATCATCACTATGAGATCTACTTAAAGAATGAGCTACACCCATCAGCACTGAAAACATTAGTTTTTCTCCGTTCGATTTCGGAATTGAAAGGGCAACTATATGGAATTTTTCATGATTTCCTTCATGTATAACGTGAATATGAGTAAACTTCTCCTAGAGAAATTTTTACGAAGGTATACTCTCAAAGGCAGGTAAAGAACGTTTTTACATAATATTTAAACAATATAACTCCTGAACAAGATACAGGAACAACATACTTCTTTAACAAGGTACAGTAAACAGAGCGCTATGTGAATTCGCCATCGTGTGGCCGAAACTTTCAGATATATATTTACCGCCAAAGCGAAATGAACTTTGTTTCCTGGCAAAGCAGGAATTGGACTTTGCTAAAATAATTTATTTCATTATTCATCTTATTTTCCATTAATATATATTACTGTATTGTGATTCTGACAAAGTGAAATGGACTTCGTGCCTAGCAGAGCAGGCTATAGACTTTGCTAATTAACCAAATTTATTTATTGTGGTAAAAATTGTGCTTACGAATTCACTATGCTTTCATGGTAGAACATCGGATTCGCCGGTTCATATCATACAACCCCAAGTGATCTCATCTCACGTAAACTACACTGCAATTATCTACATTAATTTAAAGTTAAATCTTATTATGGAATACAGCTTTAAATGCAAGAATTATTTCAATTCGTACGAACTGCTTACTCAGATATGCAAAACCGCATTCCTTTACTTCGCTAATGTATTCTCATTAGAATTGATGAAGTTAACCCTTGACTTCGCCTTTTCTATATTTTCGCCTTCGGGTGAGCGGTGTGATTGCACCCTAATTGACTTTAATTACCGCGCATGGCCTTAGAGCATAAAATTGAACTATCTGGTAAAATTTCTATGCAGTTGTATGCCAGTATTGAAAGAAACGATGAACGATCAACAGAGGAGACATTAAGACAGGAGCATTTTCCTAAATCATTTTTTTATCAATCATTTCATGTTATGACATCAGTTTTTGTATTTGGCGCTTCATATTTTACTTTATGTTTAAATGAATTGTGATTTACAAAATCGTGAGTTTATCCGGGTAAAATGATAGTCAATGAAAATTTAAAATCGAAATATATTTTTAAAGGAGTTTCATTGCATATGTTTCTGTTAAACTGAAAGACTAATAAGGTTGTTCAATATTGCATTCATCTTGCGTATTATCTAAACAGAAATGAAAGCCTTATCCTCATTGGTCATTTAACTATACTTCTGTGCTGAAAGAGTTCGTATAAAAGTCATGTTTTATGCGTGAAACTCGCTGTTCCTAGATTTCCTGTCAGAGAGCCTTAGCTTACCCCTTAGAGAAATTTATGAAGTGATATCATCTGAAAAGTATATTTTGTGATATAGCATAAACATCATTAAAGCGTTTTTCAACCATTTAGAGTGTGTCGTTATTTTAGAAAGGGCATTTGAGACCTTGAGTTTATATAATCATAAACAATCAATTTGTCAATCTACAGTACCTTATTTACTAGATTTCTCACCTTTTTTATTCAATTCTCTTAGCAGGATGGTTCAACGTTCAATTCAACTTATACAAAATGTTTGTTCCAAAATCCAGATTTTGTTTGGAGAAAAAAGTTTGGTTTCATATATAGAAGAGTTCTACACTATACACAGCATTACGCGTATTTCCCTCGGTTTCGCTTATAAAGGAAGTTTAAAAGTATGAAAAGACACATGGCTATCTCCAGCATTCTAGTTTAACGACCTTATCTGGACATAAATATGTAGGCAAATGTAAAGCCATTTTATAACAGATGTAAAAAGAGACATCCTGCCTGTTCTTCCAAGAACAAGAGGTGAGCTAAAGAATACGTGAATGTTCTCACAGATGTTACTTCGAAGATGACTGGTTAAAACAGTTTATATATCAAATCGAATCACTTAATAAAGATTTTAAAAGAATTGTTTAAGCAGAAGAGTTAAATTGAATGTATAAAGTGGTGCAGTTTCAGTATTTTTTCACATTACTAACAGTTTTTCTATATTTTCAGAAACTTGTAAGTATCGTGGTAAAACATATTTCTTTGGGCAAAATATCTATTCTGACGAAGATCCATGCAAAACATGTATTTGTTCAGAAGAGTGGGCGGGAATCAATGGCCCCAGTTGTTACAATTATGGATGCATTCATTTGGAAGAAGACCTTAAACAGCTCCAAGAAGGGTGTATTCCAATATATCATGAGGCCACATGCTGTCCAATAGAAATCTATTGTGGTAAGAATTCTAAATAATTTTCATTCTTATACGCAACTGAAACTAAATAAAAATAGCGTCTGTCTGTAACATTTAATAATGCTTCTGTAAAGTTTGCGAAATGCACAACTAGTACGCACGCAATACTTTTTTGGTGTCAGGAGTGGGGTTTTGAATACCACTTACAAGAGCGATGGAAGAACAATTCAGGCAATTGATGACTGCATTTGCTGCATTCCAAGAAAAGATGGAAGAGGCTGTCAACTCCGTTATAGATGAGATGAAAGCAATCAAAGAAAAGATGAATGCTGGCCAAGAAAAGATGAAAGCTGGTCAAGTTTCTGTTAAAAAAGAAATGAAAGCTATTAAAGGAAAGATTGAAGCAGGTCAAGAGGAACTGAAAAGAGAAATAACCTGCGTAATAGAAAACAAATTCAAGGCTATGGGAGGCAGATTTAACGCTGTCGAAAATAAAGTTCAACACACTGAAGAGAGATTTTCTGCTGCGGAACAACACATTGATGACAGGGTTACTGCAGCCGCCAAAGAAGTCGATAGCTAGAAGAAATTCGTAGCAACGGCAGGGAGCAGTAGTGATGGTTTTAAATTTTTCGATGCCTGTTCGTCCCTCTCTGAAACTATCTACATATGATGGGAAAATCTCTTGGCAAGTGTATAAGACACAATTTGCAATAGTGGCGTAAGCGAACGGATGGGATTCCCAAGATAAGACCTGTCATCTCACCGTTTCTCTGAGAGCAGACGCAGCGGATATTCTTCAAACTCTCCCAAAAAACCAAAGGCTAGATTTCGGAGCTCTAGCCGGTGCACTGGAGCTAAATTTTGGGGAGAAATGTTTGAAAGATTACAGCAGGCTTCAATTAAAATCCCACTTCTGACACCAAAAATTGTTGTCTGCGTACGGGATCGTAATAAATTGAATGCGAAAGTCCGATGAAAAGTGAATAAAATTTATTATTATCACAACAAATAAAACAAAATGCTTAAATTTTCCAAATATGCGTACAATATCATAATATTTGCAATATCTCACAGTAGTTATACTTAAAACTACTAGAACGTTCAACAGAATTAAATTCAAAGCAAAGAAAGCTAATCCAGTTTCACCGCGAATTCGCTCCAATCATTAACAGAAATAAGTAAACAACTGAACTGAGACGTTTTCCTCTCGCTTTTATAAGCTTTTTAACCAGCACGAGAATGTTCTGATAGGTTCTCCATTTCTCCGGAAAACAAAAGCCTACAATTACAAGATATTTATTTATTAAATGCGCGTGCTCCTGTATTTTTAATTTTTCCGGCGTAGCTTTCCTTCTAAATAAGTCTCGTGCTGCATTGCAAGGGAATATAAAACAATTTTAATTATACATTCTACTATCTAAAAAAAATAATAAATCTGATGTGTACACCACATGACTTCCTTGTACGGAATATTAAATTTTACGCATTTTTTTCTTGAATTTCATTTAAATTGATTGGATTGAATTAAGTCTACTTCGCCGACAGCGCATAAACCACAATAGAATAAATACACTCTTTAAAATTCACTATATTTGTTTACTATAACGATACTCTGAATGCAGAAAATTTATATCATTTGAAGAATTATCTTATCGTTGCCACATGTTCTATTCAAATACTATAATAAAGCTAGAACGATGTATGAAAGAAATTAAGCAAACAAAACAGAAAAGAAACAGTTTTTCACAGACGATTTAGTATTTCTCATTCAATTAATTCAGTTCTCATTTCGCGACAAGGCAAAAATACATAAAAACTCAAAATATCTGTATTAAAAATTAAAATCTTAAACACTTATTTCCTCGAAAAAATTCAAGAAAGGATTAAGCATGATTTAATTCGCAATAATAAATGAAGGCTTTATTTTTGTTGCTGCGAAGCTTAGTCTCTCTAGATTGGCAACAAATCTACAATTCTGCTGTTTCAAATGTAAACAAATATGTCCGCCATGTTATTTAGAATTTAACCGCACTTAAACAGCTTTTAAATTGTTGATAATTGTACAAATATTGCTTCCAGGATTACGAAAGGCATGAAAACCTTAACCGGAATATAACAAGAACATAATTCTATCATTTTTAAAGCAAAAAATGTACAATTTACAAACATATAAGAGTAAAGAAATTGAGATCATTGTGCCGAGTAACAGAGTGGATATATATATATATATAAATATAGTATTTATATACGTTTGGTGCAGCCGATTGCAACCAAAATACGAGGTGCACATCTACATGTTATAGCAGTCCTATATACAAAATTTCAACGTTCTGAGGCTACTCGTTTTCGAGTTATGCGAGATACGTACGTACATACGTTCGTACAGATGCCACGAAAAATTCTCTTCAGAATTAATTTTAAAGCAGTTTTATAATTTTTTTGGAGGAAACGAGTCTTTTATTCTGTCCTCACGTACAGATATCACGCAAAAACATCGTTATTGCATTCGGTAGCGGTCAAAATGGATATTTTCGTTGAAATATGCTGCCTGAAACTTTTCGCGATTACAATACTTCCTTTTTATTTCGTACAAGGAAGTAAAAAACCGTAATAATATGTTGTTAAATGTGATATATTTAGCAACATGTTTTTGGATGATGTTTCACTGATGTCGCAACTATCAAATTATTATTAAGTTAAATTTACAGTTTCTAAAGACTTCGACATATTATTTCTCATTTTAAAATTTGAATCCATATTTTTTCAAATCGCGGTGCTTTAGAAAACGACAGCTTTTTCATATGTTAATAAAATTCTAATTATGAGATGAAGTATCATTCTTCGTCTAAAGTAATAGAAAATTGTTGTAGTAAAATAGGTTGAGTGAAAAATCGAAAATCATTAAATCACCATAAAGAATATGCAGTATAAAATATAGAAATTTTAAAGTTTTAGTACATTATTAGAGTAAAAAAATGGCAAATTTAAGTTATGTAATACAATTACTCATTTAAAAATATAGTCTATAAAAACTGATTTTATGATTTATTTGATTTCTTTAAGGTATCCGACTATCTTCTAATCGTCAATTTAATGAAACTTTTCAAAAAAAAATTTTTTTACCACTTTATTTTAAAGCTCTTACATCACGCTTTCCAAAAATACTTTTGTTTTGACTTTAAGTTTCTTTTTCAGAACTGGTAAGATAAGGTCTAAAGATACACAGACTCTTCTAAATAACTTTAAAATGAGAATTTTTCATTTGAATACTTTTGGTGATGTTCAAAATTTTATTTTAAACATTTCTATTTGTTATTAAGTGCTAGGGAACAAGATGGATTTTACAATTTAATTTTCATATTCGGCAACATTTCTTTTTCCTTCTGTTTGTGCTTGCATTACCTTATATTTATTTTTACTTCCTTGTACGAAGTAAAAAGAAAGTATTGTAATCGCGAAAAGCTTTAGGCAGCATATTTCAACGAAAATATCCACACGAATGCAAATTAACGATGCTTTTGCGTGATATCTGTACGTAAGGACAGAATAAAAGACTCTTTTCCTCCAAAAAACTAAAAAACTGCTTTAAAATGAATTCTGAAAAGAATTTTTCGTGGCGTCTGTATGAACGTATGTATGTACGTGAGTTCGTACTTTCGTACGTACGTACGTATCTCGCATAACTCAAAAACGAGTAACCTCAGAACGTTGAAATTTTGTATGTAAGACTACTATAACATGTAGATGTGCACCTCGTATTTCTGTTTCAATCGGCCGCGCCAAACGTATATAAATATAGTATTTATAAATATATCCACTCTGTTACCCGGCTCATTGATCTCAGTTTCTTTACTCTTATATGTTTGTAAATTGTACATTTTTTTGCTTTAAAAATGATTGAATTATGTTGTTTTTATCTTCCGGTTAAGGGTTTTATGCCTTTAGTAAATCTGTATGCAATATTTTTATAATTATCAACAATTTTAAAATTGTTTAAGTACCGCTAAGCCTAATTTGATGGCGGCCATTGCTCTTGTTTACGTTTGAAACAGCTGAGTAGCGGATTTGTTGCCAATCTAGAGAACCTTAGCTTCGCAACAACAAAGATAACGTCTTCATTTATTATTTAAATCATGCTTAATCCTTTCTGGAATTTTTAGAGGAAATAAGCGTTTAAGATTTACTTCGTAATTTTTAATACAGATATTTTGAGTTTTTATGTATTTTTGCTTTGTCGCGAAGTGAAAACTGAATTAATTGAATGAGAAATACTCAATCGTCTGTGAAAAACTGTTTCTTTTTTGTTTTGCTTGCTTAATTTCTTTTATACATAGTTCTAGCTTTATTATAGTATTTGAATAGAACATGTGGCAACGATTAGATAATTCTTTAAATGATATAAATTTTGTGCATTCTGAGATTACTGGCGAAAACTCTTTGGTAGTTAATGACCAGAAAAATGTAAGTCATAAGTCATTCTGAGTTATAATATGAAAGAAATATAATACTGTTAAGTAAACCTAGCGCCAGAGTGTCGCTATGGTAAGCAAAGTGAATTTTAAGGAATGCATTTATTCTATTGTGGTTTATGCGCTGTCGGCGAAGTAGGTTTAATTCAATCTAATAAGTTTAAATGAAATGCAAGAAAAAATGCGTATCATTTAATATTCCGTACAAGGAAGTCATGTGGTGTACACATCAGATTTTTTGAAAAACGTGATTTCGTTTTCAACTTTTCTGTTACGAAAAAAACGTTAAATTAAAATATTACTGTAGTCTTATGCAACTTTCCACAAATATTCTATGAATTAAATGGACTCAAAGTTTAGGATTATGTATGTATCTAAACCTTTTTCAGATAATTTTGTAAATGAAACGAGTGAAATTCTCGAAAAATAGCTTGTGAATGTATTCCCCGACAGGTATATTTAATAGCCATTTTATTTTATCACTTTGATTTTAGTCTACTTAATTTCTTATACCTTAATAAATATAATTTACAAAAATAACAGTCAAATACTGATTAATACTTTTGTGTGAACATATCTAATAATCCTGAAACCGAAGAAGTTTTTAACCCAAAATGTAAGAAAAAAGACAAAAAATCATACTTTGGTAATATTATCATTTTAAGTAGTACACCAATGATAACATAACACCAATAATAGATTTATTTGTACTATTTTCGAAAATCTGGGTCTCGAATGTTGTCGGATAACTTAAAAGTAACTTGAAATAGGTTACATTTTTATGAAACTTTGTATGCTTTGTCTATAAACTGTTTTCTGTTGAATGCAAGAGAGAATAATGGCAGTGTAGTTAGCTTCCTGATTACAGTCTGCTTTTTGGATCGTAACCCGGTAAATGTAAAGTAATTGCTTGTTTTAGTATTTCAGACTTTTGATTAATTAAAAATCTTTTAAGTTTTTGTGAAATCATTAGAAAAGGACATCGTACTCTATTGTTTTCTTCGAATAACTTTTTTTTTTGCCGAAAAATGTTCGATAACGAAATAGAAAATACTCACCTTGAGTTTTCTTTCTTCCGCTTTGAGCAACTGGGTTCGTGAATGATGAAATATCTTCTTTTAAATGGCTAAGATCTCATATTCATCTAAATACACAACAATGATTTATTAGTATTTTGAAAACATTTAATAAGGCAATTAAAGTTACAAGCACATTTTACGGCGTTTTATAAAATACATTGCGCACTCAAAATTCTACACAGCTACGGTTCGAAATCAAAACTTGGAGTTCTTATTAAAGTCATAGTCACAGATACAGAAGCAAGAGAACGTTCAACTAGTTTCAGAGTCACAGATTCATGGACGTCCAAATCGTGATTCCTGAATGACAACTTTATAATTTTCAAGACGTTCAGGATCACTTGGAGCATTTGCGTAAGGAGTTAAACTACAGTCACTGGTCATTATATTGGGATTGTTCTTTTTTTCAAAATTTGTCACTGCCTTTCATTTCATTTATTGTTGTTGCTTATGCTGACGTGTTTGACGCAGTCAGCACAAGCCCATGAAATTTCTCGTGGCAAGAGCGCTATATTACGCCTGCCGTTGGCAACAGCCTTGAGCACCATTTAGGTTACAGTGCGATTTAGCTCAGTTGCGTCCCCAATTTTGATGGACAGCACCCCGGGAGGGACGGGTCCGACGGTCTGTCACCTCTCTCCCCTTCCACCAAACCACATGACAGGATTTTTAGAGTGCCGCCATGCCGCATCGATACTATACATTTACAAACAACCATGCCTTCTCAGAGATTCGATGCACGGTAGTCAGCGACGCTAACCACTATACCGGTTGGGCGGCGTCTTTCACTTCTAATGGATATAATATCCGGATAGATCTCAAATAAGTCCCACGTTTGGTCTTCACTTCTACCACATGTACTTTTCCGTCTTTACCAGGATACATTTTAACCACTTTGGCTAAGCACCAATAGTTTCTGGATGAACACAGTAGATTTTTCAGTAACAGCAAAAAATATTCCATCATCCCTGCAAGGATGCATTTTTTCCAAAAATTGTTCAATAAAGAAATGGGGACTACTCATCTTGAGCTTTCTTACTTCCGTTTTCAGTAACTGGATTCGTTAATGGTGAAATATCTTCTATTATAAACCATCCAATTTGATTAATCATGGTAATATTTTGCTTTCTTCTTTATTTTTGCAACGTATATCACTCTGCAACACAAATACACGGCTCTGCAACACAAATACACGGCATACCCTAAATTCAAATAAAATTACACTTTTTTGCAAAAACATCAAAGAACCCAGAAGGACTTTTGCGATTGTGACGAAATTTGGTATGTAGAAACATCTTGATTGAACGTGCAAATGGTCAAAGTTTCAAGGCAAGCGAACAGGAATTACGATCATAGCGCGCATTTCTAATGCGCAATTCGCAAAGTATAAAACCAGTAACAGAGGGGGAAAATTTATCTTTTATTGCTGCTGCCATTGTAATTCCGTAAAGAAGAAACTAAAGACACCATTAGACGATCGAACGTGGTCGCATTGTAGGGTTGCGTGAAGCTAGGTTGTCATACCGAGCAATGCAATAGGTCGCCACTTGCAGCGTGCAGACACTGCTGTGCAAAGATCTTGGCAGCAATGGTTGCTACAAGGAAACTGCCCACGAAATGAAGGCTCTGGAAGGCCAAGGATCACAAATGCGAGGCAAGATAGGATGATTGTTCGCCAGGCAAGATAGGACAAATACTAAGCAAGATAGGACAAATACAAAGCAAGATAGGACAAATACCATGCAAAATAGGATGATTGTTCGCACTGCTCCGGCTACTGCCGTGAAGTGCTATCGTCTCTAAAACACTGAAGTATGGCTAAAAGTTTTATCACCTTATGGGTATTATAACATTTCAAGCTTTTCATTTATGGCTTTTCTCAAATTTAAACGGAAATTCAATCACTTCTTTGCCGTATAGCCTTAAAAGCTGCTTCGCCCGCCACAACAAAAGGTATTACGATACTTTCAGTCACTATTATGAAATACTGGCTGCCATTGCTTTCGAATTATTGCTTTTAATAGGTAGAGGTACAACCTGGGCAAAAGTTAGTACAAAATCATTATGTCCAATAGTGGGAAAGAAAAACGATCTTAAAGCTTTCTTTCGAATAAATAGGAAGATTATTATACAGTTTCAGTGTTCAAATTTTCAAATTTGTTCTAATGCATGTTATTTATGTTCAGTTATATATGATATAATGTAATGTAGTTATATACAGTGCGTCAGTAAAGTTATGATGTACTTGTTATTTGGTCACCGTAAAGCAACAAAACAAGATAGAAATGTGAAATCTTCACCAAACAAAAAGAAAACTCTCCAAGTTTCCGCAGTTTTATGTGCAAGCATGTGCGCACACAGGTGATGACGCAGCACCGCCAAAACTGCGAAGGAGTAGATCAGCCCATCCACGCCCACGCCAGTCGAGATGATGACCGTACAGAGGAAAGTTCAGTGTATTCTGTGGCGTGTCAAATTCGAATCCCTGACGAAAATGCAATGTGAATATCATCGCGTGTACAGTGAACCGCCACCACATAGAAATAATATTAATCGGTGGGATAAGCACTTGAAGGATACCAGCAGTTTGTTGGACAAACCCCGTTTTGGCAGGCCATCGGTCAGTGACGTGTCTGTAGAGGCCCTGTGGAAGAGTTACCTAAGAAGCCCTTACAAATTGCAGCTGTTGCACGCTATCAAACCGACGGATAGAGCCAAACGATTTACGTTTGTTACAGATATGCTTCATGAGGTCGACAGTGATAATCGATTTCTGCAGAAGATTGTGTTAACGATGAGGCGAAATTTCCTGCTAGTGGGCATGTTCATCGCCATAACATCCGAATATGGGCTGGTGAAAATCCTCATGTTCACGTAGAGTACGAACGTAACAGACCTAAAGTGAACTTGTGGTGCGGCTTGATGCAAGATAAAGTGATAGGATTATTTTTATTTGCGGAGTAGACTGTGACGGCATGAATGGAGCCCACATCGAACTGCACTGAATAGGTATGAAACTTTAAGAGGTTTTCTTTTGTTTGGTGAAGATTTCACACTTTTATCTTGTTTTGTTGCTTTCCTGTGACCGATCAATAGTGCACCATGACTTTACGGACGCACTATATATATATGTGTATAAGTTCCTTTATGTTTAAAATGCTACGCAATTTTTCAAAATTTATATTTTACTTTTACAGGAAGAGATTTCGAGCCTACTACAGTTCCATTAGCCAGCAATGCAGATATTAGTAAGTATTTGGATAACGCAAAATATCTTTTAAAAGAGTATCAATTTCTGAAACCTAATTTACTCAACTGTAATTTAATCTTTATGTCAGTAAAAATAGAAACTTATTTCAAGGATATTAAGATGGAATTGACTCTTTACAGAATCTGGGAAGTCATGTGAATTCCAAGGATTTCACTACAAGCTCGGACAAACACTGGATATAAATCATCCAACGAATTGCGTGACCTGCACCTGTTCTACCCCACCTGATTTCACATGCATTCATCGAATGTGCCCAGGACCTCCGAATGGCGATTATAAAAACTGTTATCCATCTTATTCACCTGCAGAATGTTGTCCTATATATGAATGTAGAAAAACAAATGCTACATAAAAATTCATTTATTTTTAATTTTCAGTAATTTATTTCAAATATGTAGTCTTCTTTTACTGTCAAATGTAAGCCTTTCACTTGTCTAAATGCTTTTGTATTCTTCATTGGTTTCTTGGCCTTTTATTACAGCACTGCAAAATAATCGAGCTAACGGCTTGAAAATTCTGAAGTTTCTCTTAATGATTTATCAGAGTTAACAATACATATGTGGCCTGAAAGTTAATATTAAATGGATGTTATAAAATAATCGAGCTAACGGCTTGAAAATTCTGAAGTTTCTCTTAATGTTTTATCAGAGTTAACAATACATATGTGGCCTGAAAGTTAATATTAAATGGATGTTATAAACTGTTGGAATTTGTCGAGTCGTTAGATTTGTAGGAAACATGAAAAATATACTATGTCGTTACGGGTGATTCAAACACGAGATCTCCCGATTGCTAGCCAAATGTGCTTTCAATTACATCACGAAGGCATGCAATAAAGAGCGAGAAAATATGTTACATTCTTTCCCACTTAAAGGGCGACTGGGAAGGAGGGGACCCAATCGCAAAATGCGGGTTGTGACGAATTACCGTCCACCATATTTCAGTTCGGGCGCCCCTACAAATCGATTAGGTATTTATCGAAGCAGGAAATAACAGAAATTAGCAATACGCTCGCCGAGATTCGTACTCCGGACCTTCTGATTAACTAGAAAGACTTTCTTCAAATTACACCATGAAAGCGCTCGATAAGAAGGGAGGAAATACCTTACAAATTTGTTGACTTATCTCAAAATGCATATTTCGAACAGGCTACGTGATACGATATAATAATTTAAAATAATCAGCAACACAAGAAATATTATTACCTCAGAACTGTTATGTAAAACGATAGGACGATAGGAGACGGTAAAACGATAGGAGTACAATAATATTTAAACAAAACCACTCGAAGCTTTGTTTGGCGGGAAGATATTTATGAGGGACTTAATTGAGCTGAGGCACTCAACTTGGTGTACTTGAGTCCTTGAAGAGTACGCGAAAACTGGCGGTGGTTGAAACATGGGCTTTTTATTTCTATTCTGAATTGCGATCATTTGCTACAGAATGACTCGAAAGTCTGTTAGCATTTGAAAATTCAATAATTCACTGAATAATATAGGTCGAGAGGTAAAAACGGTCATACTTGCTTGAAATGCAGTGGGTTTTTACTAAAAGCAAGAAAAGGGCTTAAAACGGCTGACAGATAGCGATAATTAGCATAGCAATTGATTTTTTAGCAAAAACTATGTTCTTTATAAAAAATGTTCAATATGTCGGTGGTCATTCATCAACAATACCTGTAGTCGAGGGACAATGTTGTGAACAGCACTGTACAGCATACGGTGAGAAACTACCCTCGGATGTTGCCTTTTAGCACCCCTAATGAGGTCGGACAATCGCGGTAGACTTGTGATTTCAGGTAACCCCACAACGAACAATCACAGGGATTGAGATCTGGGGACCTTAGATGCCAAGGAAGTGGCCGCTCAGCACTCTATCCTCACGAAATGATGTGTGCAATAGATGTTTTACACGTGTAGCAGTATGGCGATGGAGCGCCATCCTGCATAAAATTCATACCTTCCAACAAGTATTTATCAACCATACTAGGGATGATGCGATTCTGTAACATATCAGCGCACCTCGCACCCGTCACACTGACAGTTTGAATAGCAGAACTACGCATTTCCTCGAAGAAAAACCGATCCGATCATGACTGATGTTATATCACTGAAATTTATCACATCGCACCATTACCAACACCCGGAGGCGAAGATAGAAAAGTGACAAAGTCATGAAAGGACTGATTGACTGTCTCACTACAGCTCACTTCATACACGATTCTCATGGAGTGTGACTAGCATGTTGCTGCCCAGCGCCATATGTTGACCTTTTTTGCTTTTTGTTTCCTTTCTTTCGGTAAGACCCCATGCCATTTCAAGCCATGTGTGTCAATTTTTACATTTGCATTATTCCGTGAATTATTGAATTTTCAAATGTTAACGGACTTTTGGGTCACTCTGTATTATTACAAAGCCTATGTTTTATATGCATGCATAATAGTTTATATAAAAATGTAATAACTTTTTTAATGACTTGCAGATATTGAGATATGAATCATTTCAGATCGACTTTATTATTTGTTAGAAGGTAAGGCAGTCCACTTTCATCCATTTAATGATTCATGATTTATGTAAATAGATTCAGATATGACTTATATGTGGGAACGTAAATTGAGGATTTTACTCATTTCATAAAATGATTCTCCATGTTAAGTTTTTTGAAAAGAATAAAAAAATACATCATTTCCACTTTGCTTGATGAAACAAACACTGGCTTAATTTTTTATTCCAGAGCTTGATTTGAATTAAAACTTCTTGAATATGTTAGTCGTAACTTGCAAGAAGTAAATATAGTTAAATTTAGCTTTCTTCATATAAATGTTAAATTTGAATAACCAAAACATGCTTCACTGCTTTAAAAAAGTATCGGAAATTGCTAAATATTTAATTGAATATAATTTTGTCTTTGTTTCTAAATACTAACCAAAGAAAATTTTGGTCGTTTATAACACCACTTTGCTTTTTTCTTGTTATTCCAAGCTTTAGCATTCATCACAAATTATAATTTACATCATTATAATTTATTTTGCTCCGGTAAAACTTTCAAATTAATTGTTTTAATTCTACTACTAAGAATTTTTAAACAGCATAGTCGTGTCGATGAGAGGGGATGCAACATCAAAATAAAATAGGTATTAATATGAGAATTCTTAAAAATTATTTAGGTATCGCCGAGTTTGTTAGTCAAAAATTCGTTAAAGTTTTACATAACATGAAATCGATAATAAAACAAATTCCAAATTTGGGCTTCCAGATGCCCATAGTTATTACGTTATTTTACAGGATTACGTTATTTAATATTTGATGGCTCTAGGTACCGTTGTTTTATCACAATGCGGGAAACATACATATATTTATGCAGATTTTTCATTATTTAATTTCTTTAATACAGGGCGATAATCTTTGCTGGTAACAATTTTAAAAGTGATTCGACGTTTATAGTGAATTTATTTGGCACAATGCCAAAACGAAATTAATAGCTCTTTTGGCTAAAAATGTGCAAATACGTAGGTTGGAGCAAAAGTCATGGCAACTATTTTTTTCTTGAAGATATCAGTCCTGTTGGAAAATGTGACATATACAGATGAAAGGACAGGGTCTTAACTACATGTGTGGACAATGAATAGCACTGAAATATTGGAATACACGAATTTATTACGGTAGTATACAGGGCAATATAGCCTTCACCGTGCAAAAGAATGATAACACAATACACATAAAGTTGACATGACAAACCTGGACCTAAAGACCTTCAATGTAGTCCCTTGCTACTGTCACCATAAGCTGCCAAAGATGTGGGAGTTGCTGAATACCATCAGCCTCAGCGTTTGCCGCACCACGTGCGAATCGAGTCATCTGTTGGCGCACAGCATTAGCAATGTCCTTTCGTGTTTCAAACCGCCTACCACGTATTGGTTCCTTAATCTTCGGAATGAGATCCAAGTCACAGAGCGAAAGGTCAGCAGAGTACGGTGGGTGCTCCAATTCTTCCCATTCCCATCGTCGGAATAGCTGCCGTACACACTCTGCTTTATGTGGTCTTGCATTGTCGTGCAGAATTATTGTACTGTCCACAAGATCCAGACGTTTATCCCGAACGCCACGTTGTACCTGTCGCACCATGAAGTCCCTGTAGTACTGTGCGATCACTGTTCTGCCATGAGGAACAAAGTGGCAAACAATGACTCTCCTGACGTCATACGCGACGATCACCATCAATTTGACTGGAGAAGGATTCCGACTCTAGCTCATTATGCAATATCCTGTGGACGGTGCGTTTCTCGATGCCACTTGCCCTCTCTAACTCCAGTAATGTCCATCGTCTGTCTTCATTCATGAGGTGCTCGATAATGGCACGTGCTAAGACGATCAGGACACTCATCGATCGTCCGTCCCGAATGTTGCTCATTACTGGTTGACACACGTCCTTGCTGAAACTTTTCTACCCACCGTGCTACTGTACGATATAGTAGGGCATTATTCCCAAGGGTTTCTACTAATTCACTGTGACATTCCATCGCATTTATCCCTCGGAGAACGGCTATTTAGATGTAAGCGCGCTGCTCATTACGGGTTACTTCCATCTCGCACGGCGCTCACCAACTGACTGATTTCAGAGCCCTCGCTACCACAGAGCCCTCTGTTGTTCTGCATATATACTATGCCTGGAGAACTTCCACACGAAACATATACGTTTTGTGATCCGTTCACATATCTACAAGAAAAAAAATAGTTGCCATGATTTTTGCCCCAACCCTCGTATAATTTAATTTGTACTCTATGTGTGCGCGTATACATATGTATGTATATATATATATATATATATATATATGTTATGGTGAAAGCGATTACTCAGTTATTATTAATAACAACAGATTAACCGCCTAACATGCATGTATGTGCTTTTTTCAACAGCCAGCCATCTTGCATTGTATGGAGAATATGAATTTACCGTTTTGCATCGGGTGAAAAAAATCTGTAGGCACGGCTCTGCTGAGAACATTAGAACTTTTATTTAATATAAGGAAGTTTTACATTACTTAAAGCTAATTTTCAAGACAAAAATGTTAATATTTTGAAATTTTTAAACTGTCAAAATTTCATGCGCATTTTAAAGCTGGTGGTTTATTTGAACAAACAGATTACATCTGCTACAGCAGCTGAGTATATTATTTGCTAATCATTACTCCTCCCCAAACAACTACTGAATTTGTCTGTTTGATTTATGGTTTCATTATATCTTTGGATTGCTTATGAAACACAGAGATAAGACAATTTAAAATATATTTAACATTTAGGACATAAGAATTATTCTACAATCGAGAAATAAGAAAATGCTTTGTGTTTCAACAGTTTTGCATGACAGCGGAATAGGAAATTGTTGCAATTGTACGTCATGCAGAACTTGCAGGCCTAAGAATTACGATAATATCATTGTTGAACAGAAATGTATCTTTACATGCCATTAACTGAATATTCTCACTATTCAGCATTTATAATCATGAAGATATTTCAAGGCTTCAAGGCTAAACATGAATTTTCAGTTTTCCATTTTTTTCCCCTTTTTATTTGAAGACTGCATTGAAGTAAAACTTTCATAATAAATTGCTTTTATTCATTTATGATAAACTTTCCCAATTATCATAATTTATTTGATGTAAAGCTTATCTTTATGTGCCTGAATAAAACAAAAATTAAATGGTGTGAAAAAGTGGAGTACTGTAATTTGAAAAAGAATTATTTTCATGACATATCTGCCTATAAATGTGAGTTAATTAAATTTAATTTTAAAATGTTAATGGTAGCATACGTTTACTATTTTTTTCTAGGAGCCATTTTCTCCTTTCTTTTTTTCCAAAACAACTAGATGAATATTGGTAGTTATAAATCACAATTACGAGATATACATGTTGCTCACAAGACTATAATGTTTAGGAAATACTATAAGTATCGCGTATATAATGTATAGGAAATTATCGCCTTTCTAGATGAAGTAGCACATCCAGCTAGCTATTAGAAGTTGCTCGATTCGAGTTCCGAAGAAGGGACGGTTAATTTTCGTGTTCACTGTCTTGAAACTTGGTGCACACTTTAACTTTTAAAAATTTCCATTTAACTTATTTCCTCATCTGTGCATTCTTATAACTTTAAAATTATGTATATATATATTTAAAAAATTAGTTATTATCTCATGCTAGTTACTTTTTGACAGCATTTGAAATTACCTATCTGTTCGACAAGGAGTACGGTCTCTGACCCAGGAGCCCTGGTGCTACAGCGTTTCTCCAGTGCGTTTACTGTCTACGATAAAGCAAATACCTCTCTGGTGGTTATAATTGTGGTGGACGAGAGTTTGTCAGCTTTTTGATCATTTGAGCCTCTTACCTTTTAGGGAGAGAGGATAAGGAATTTCTCTTTGCGTAGTCTTGTTGTGTAAATAATAGCAGGGCCAGTTAGGAAGTGGAAAGTCCTAGTTCGAATCTCAGGCGAGGGAATTAATTATATTTTGAACACAAAGTTGATTCTAACGTTTCGCGACTTTGAAAAAGTTAACTTCTCTAAAACATCATTCAATTTTATTTCGAAATTTTGGTTAGAGAGAAAGAGTATTTAATTTTTTTCTTCCACATTAAAAATTCTTCATTCATTCATTTCAGAAGTTTCAAAACGCTACCTCAAGCACCAGCCCCGTTCCGCTGGCTGTCCTGCCAACACAGGTGTGTGTGTATTTAATTATGGCAAAGCACACTAGGGCCATCTGCCTAAGGGAAGGGATGCCTTCGTTGGATGCCCTTGGCTGGCTCGTAACACGTTGCAATGCGAAAAACCACGAAAACGCTCATGCAGCCAGCCCGTTCGCTGGATTCGAACCTCGGGAAAAACAAATGTTCACCACTACCAGCCCTCCGCTGGGTGGGCCCCTGCCTTTAAAGAAGTTACCTTTCACTTGAGTTCATTCTGGCAAGACCCCCAAACAACCGCTTTGTCGTGGTGCATATAAAAATACTTGCCAAACCTGCCAAATACAGGAAAGAAAAGAAAAGAAGTTCCTTTCAGCTTGCAGATTCATTCTGTCTGCAAGAAACATAAACAAACTCAAAATTTATCGTTATGAATGCATATAAAAATTAAATTGCATTCTTTACATGGACACAAAATGTAGCATATGAGTAAAAGTTTACCTTGAAATATACGAAACGTAATGAAATAGATCAAACTAACAGATATTGCTTCCAGTGCAAAGGTTATAAATTTCTGATTTTAAAAGAAAGTCCAATGCATGGGTTGTAAATAAAAAATATCAAAAAATATATAATTGAAAAACCGATGTAATATAAATGTTTTCACAAATGTTTTCGCTGTTAAAAATTGTTCACCTACTCAGTGTAAGGGAATTTCTAACCTAGTGTAAAATGGGACTTAACGCACATTGATTAAAGTGATTTCTAGACTTGATTCTCGTTTTTAAAATTATAATATAGCAGAATAATATTGTACGCATGGGGAGCTCAAAAGTTCTGTTTTTACTTTTGGTGAAAGTTTTGCTATGACATTCACTTTAGTAAAATATAATATGGACGTAAAGCTGTTGTTCAAAGGACAGTTAGTAGACGTGTAACATTTGAATGTCAGATTTTGTCTCCTCTTAATAAGATAAGCATTACTTAGACAACTTTCAACGTCTTAATTTTACTTATAAGATTGTTTGAAAATTTCTAACCTAAAGAAAGAAATAATATTTAAAACATTTTAATAAAATTTATTTTTTCTATTAATTTTAGTTAAATATTGAGGTAAGGCTAATGGACATTTCCCTTTCAATATCTCTTCTAAAAATAATAATACGACTTACTTATTAGTTAGTTATCTTTAAGGGTTTAATGCAGTTATTTGAGCAGCATCTTTTACAGCGAAATTACACAAATGTAGAGTGTCCACAGCGATTCATTTCTCCTAAAAATAATACAGCCTTGAAATCTGAGTAATTAAAACATATTAATTATCTGTTCACTGAATTTAGTTTATTTAAGCGTAAACCTGCAAAAAGGAATTAAAACTGCATCTAGATAATAAGACATTTCCTTGACTAATCAGAATCGCTATTAAATGACTGAAGAATCACGATGAAGCAAGGAGATTACAATACCCACTTGTTTCTAAATAATTTTTAAGACTTGGCTTTCTCAAGATAAAGTTTGCAATGAATTATCTTCTTCCTCGCCTCGTAAATCCCAGCAGTCTGCACAGTTTGTTTCTGCTTTTGTTTATTATGCGTCAATAGTTTCTTCGATTCAGTGTGAATAAATAATGTTTTATTTAATTCACGTGCAGAAAGGTAGATGTAAGAAAAGCGAGAGCTTCAACATACGCCATTTTCTCTGCACTGTCATAATAATTTGTTCCTCCAATGGCGGGCACAAATCATTGTATAGACGTTGGTCAAGGCAAAAAGCGGCGGTCACTTTATTATGGAGGCACCTAATAGGTGAGCCACCTTTGCCATCTATGAAAGAGTCGCAGTCGGCTCCCCTAACCACAATACCGTCTGGGCGGCTGTCATAATAATTTATGTAGTCAAAATTTTATTAGCATGTCAGAAATAGATACGATTAAGAATATTTTGGTTTTAGACTGCAGAGTGTTTTGTCACCTGACATGCATTGAACAGCAATTCGCTAAAAAAGTAATATACTCCTAATGTGAAATCAGCAAACAACGAAGAACAATTATTTCCTAGTACACTTTTCTAATAAAAGATTTTGTAAAATCACTGGTGTATGTCAATACTGTACAGAGATTTGCCTCGACAATAACTGCTTGAAAATTTAGACAAAAGTAATATAACAGTTTGTATTTCTGTCTGAATTTTCATAGTTATTCGTAAGTGATGCGCAATAATATAGCATTAGTCATTTTGTTTAGAGTCCAGAAGAAATAACAATCCTTCAGATAATTAAACGTCTTCGAAACAGCTAATTTTTTGGTTAGCTCATTCGTATCATTGCCCGTCTTGCCGTTTTCAACTGTCCTTATTGTTCGTTGCGAAGAGAAAGTTAGGAGAACTTTTTGACAGATGTTGGAAGAAGAAAAAATCACACTGTGCATGTCTCCTTACTGAGATA